GTGTTTACACTAGAAAAAACAAATTTTAAATTAGACCCCGAAAAAAAAAAATTAATATCATCAGCAAAAAGAACAAAATTAAGAAATTTAGAGGATAAGTGGATGCCATTGATATATAAAAGAAACAGCAGAGGACCAAGTATTGAGCCCTGAGGGACACCACAACTAATAACTTCTAACTGAGTACATTTTAAATTATACGTCACACATTGTTTACGATTTTGTAGATAAGACTCGATCCATTTTATATTAGTATTTTGAATTCCATAATTTTTTAATTTATAGCGGAGGATTTCGTGGTTGACAGTGTGGAATGCCTTCGATAAATCAACAAAAACTCCAAGTGTATAATTATTGTTATCAATTCCTTTCAAATACTGCTAGCCAAATCCATCACAGCATGCTCAGTGCAATGATTTCTTCGAAATCCAAACAGTTTAGGATATAAAATATTGTTTTTATCAATGAAATTATATATTCTATTATACATATAATACGTTCGAGAACCTTTGAAAAACAGGAGAGAATTGAGATGGGTCAGTAGTTTGATTCTAAAAAATCGTCGCCGTTTTTATAAATTGTAATTTTTCTAGCAAGTTTTAATTGATCAGGAAAGTCCCCGCCTTTTAATGAAAGTTTAAAAATAATAAAAAGAGGCAATTCGATAATGTCAAAGACACTTTTCAAAACATTTGCATTAATTTTATCAAGACCTGCACTTTTATTTGTCTGAAGCATGTCAAAAGCTGAACGACGTTTTTCAATAGAAAGTTCCAAATTGTCCATAATAAAATCTGATTCTTTCAAAAAAGACTGGAATGTTTTGCTATTTGGAGAGATTTCTTTGGCTAAATTTTTCCCAACATTTATAAAAAAATTATTCAGTCTCTGAGCAATTGTTTTTTTATTAAAAATTTCGCCTTTATCGGTTTTCAGTCGATTAGGGAGGTTTCTAGATGTAATTTTTTGTTTTCCCTGTTATTTTTTTTTATTATAGTCCAAGTTTTTTTAGCGTTTCCAAATGATTTCTGAAGTAGACCAGAATAGAAGTTTTTTTTAGATTGCTTTTTTTATTTTTTCGAAATAGTTTTAGTATTTTTTATATTTAGTTTCGTTTTCATAATTTTTGTTTTCTAAAAATTTTTCGTAAAGCTTTTTTTTTTTTTTTTTTTTTTGATGATTTTAAAAGACCTTTAGTCATCCACGGGCTATGCAAACATTTGGATTTTATATTTTTTCGAGCTTTAGGAAAAGCTTTATCATATTGCCTTGTAAAGACGGGGATAAAGAAATCGTATGCGCTACATGTGTCATTGCAATCATTCAAAAGCTCCCAATTAATTTCACGCAAAAGCTGTCTAAAAATTGCAATCGAGTCTTTGTTTACATGCCTTATGTATACTGTTATGGGTTTTTTATTTGTACAGAATTTAGTATTTGTTGTTAAAAAAATAGGAAAATGGTCACTAATATCCGTTTTTATTATACCACTGTTGATTGTTGAGTTATAATTATTAGTGATAATATTGTCAATAATAGATGATGTTTTTCGAGTTACACGAGTCGGCTTGCTAGTCATGGGGTAAGCACTAAATTGAGAAAGAGTATTTATAAAACTTTTTACGTATGTATCAGTGTTTAAATTTATCAAGTTTAAATTAAAGTCTCCGAGTAAATATAGATGTTTTTTAGAGGTTTGAATTAATATTCGCCTAAAGTAATTTTCAAATTGATTGTAACTGCCATTGGGTGGTCGATATAAAACTGTTATAAACGAATTTTTTTCTTTTTGGTTTATTATCTCTATAGTTAAAGATTCACAATTCGAGTTATTCACACTTAGACTACTTTTTTATACGTCAACAAGTTGCGAATAAATATGCATACGCCTCCGCCAAAACCGTTTTTTCTCGGTTGGTGAACAAACTTGTAATCTGTTAAATGCAAATTAGAGTTACTCATATCTTCACTCTGACACCAGGTTTCAGTAAGACAGATTATACTGAATTTAATACTTATATTATTTAGCATTAATTTTAGATGTTCAAAGTTTTTGCTCATGCTTCTAATATTTATATTTAGTAATGACATGTAATGTAGTAATTTAGTTAAAATACTTGTAACCTCATGAACTTTAAAATAGTTAGTTTATAAGGAATATTTGTCAAGAATGTTTACGTCAGGATCAATGTTCTTTGAAAAGTGACATACGTTTTCTCCAGAAAATGTATTAAAAAAATTATAACTAATTGTTTCCGCCATTTAAAAAGACAGGAATAAAATAAAAAATAAAATGGAAAGTTAAATAAATAAAAAATGCATTACTTTTACTTTGGAACATTGATTGAGTATTTTACCGCGTTTTTTAAATGAATAATTTTGCCATGCCTCACTGCAAGGTTTTCTCCCTTTAGACATCGTTCTTTAACTTCTGCAAACAACTTTTTTCTAATATTAACTGTATATATATTTAAGCCTTTTAATCTATTCGTTTCTTTCAATATTTTCATTTTATCTTTATAACTTTTTAATTTCATCACGATTGATCTTGTACGATTATCTTTTTTAATCCCAGTACGATGTCGATTCTCAACTTTTTTAATCCACGTGTCGATTCCCAACAAACCTAGATTTTTCTCAACAATATATTTTTACTTTTTCTTCCGCTTGTGTCCAAGTTTCATTATCATTTTCCGGTAACCCATCAATTCTTAAGTTATCTCTTCTTATTATATCTTCAATGTTTTTTTGTTGATTCTTTAAGAGTTGTAAACAAATTAATTTGTTTTCAAAGCTATTGCGGCAAGCAATGACTTTGATCAACAAGGTTTTCTTGAAAATTTAAACTTAATTTAACAACTGCTACATCTTTCTCGAGTATTTTAATTTTACTTATGTTTTCATTTAGAATGTTACAAAAAACAAAAAAACAAAAAAGAATTTTTTTTTTTTTAATATGAAATGAACATAAAACTATTTATTTTTAGTTTTAAAAATCATTATACTTGAATTAATATTTTTATAGTTTTGTTTACTGCTAAATCAAAAAATATTAATACATCCTCTAAACTAATGATTGTGTTGTTGAAACCTTCAAGTTAATTTCTTTCTTCAATATGCACTTTTATAATAAATAAATCCCAGCAAGTATCTTAAAGTAAGACTACCAGATTTAGTCTACCTGCTGGTCTATATTCTGCTTCAAAAAATTGGTGGTTTCTAAAATTTTTCACAATATGATCTTTATACAATATTTATTATTGTTAATTTAGAGGTTGTGTGCTAAAAAAATTTAAGTGTGATATGTAACTAAGTTAAAATCTGATTAGGATTCATTATTTTTATTCATTTTTGATTCATAAGCTATATTGTCAGTAACAAGGTTGAGAACTTTTCAAAGAAACACTTAAAACTAGTTGATTTAACAAAAACTAGTGCTTGTTTTCCTGAGTGTTGCTTCATATGATCAACTGTGTTGTGATTGCTGCTTTATATCATCAACTGTGTTGTGATTGCTGCTTGAATAAATTTTATGATTAAATAAAAAAAATTAGTTCTTAACAAATTTTTTTTTTTTTTTTTTTTTTTTTTTTATATGAAATGAACATAAAACTTTTTATTTTTAGTTTTAAAAATCATTATATTTGAATTATTATTTTTATAGTTTTGTTTACTGCTAGGCAAGTTTTGACTCCAATAATAAATTTTAAAAATTTATTAGCAGCATATAAAATTTTATTCTATTACCTATTTATAAGTTATTATTTATTAGTTCTTAGTATTGCGTCTGTATGTGTCTGTATATCTTGTTTTTTATGAATTTTTGTTTTTAATTTAAGAAAGCCTGCTATTCATCTAATTCAAAGGACCATTTCAACCTGCTCTATAATATATTCAAATTGTTTTTTGACCAGAAACTTACAATAAATAAACAATGAGCAAACATTTAAAGATTTATTAAAAAGTGTTTGTTAAATATTTTTTTACAGCACTACCTAATTGATATTGATAAACAAAATTTTAAGCTACTCAAATAAATATAGTTAATATAAATATATTACTACTTAAATTAGTATAGTTAATCAAACTAAGCCCAACAAGCATATAAAGCCGAAGCCTTTTTCAAAAGATATGTTTAGAAAAACTCAATTTTATGAAACAGTATACTCAAAATAAAATTTATTAAACTTTGCACTGGATTAGAACCTTTTCATTTATTTATTAATATACCTTATTATAGTTAATATGCGGTAGTAAACTAGTGGTGTTAGTGGCATAGGAAGATCGCGAAAGTTGGGGGGGGGGGGGCTGAAAACATATTAAAAAGGAAAAAAATTCCTCAATTTTGTATGATACAGCAAAATAGATAAAAATGATCAATTTGTTCAATTATTTATCACTCACAACATGATTAATCATCTTTTAAACGTGGTTAGTCATCTTTTGCCAACACACATTTATTTAAAAAATAGTTAGTATGCGATAGTGGGGATAGATAGATAGAGGGGCTAAATGCAGTGTCCGCTCACCCAGTGTTTTAGTTGGGGGGTGGAGGGTGGGGCTATTTCCCCCTCTTTCCCCTGTTCCTATGCCAGTGAGTGGTATTATGCAGTATTAACTATTATGCGGTAGTAGACTTGATTCGCAATCAACTAATTGAGGTGTAAATCCATCTTGAGTCTTGCACTTAACTTATTTTTTCGTGCTGCAGCCAACAAAGTTTGTGTTTTGAAATTTGGTGTTAAAAGAGCTGTAAATAAAATAAACATATGAGCTGCATCTTCAACTGCTGTTTCCCTTGGAGTTTAGGTGAAAGCATGTTTTAGGAGTTTAAGTGAAAGCATGTGCAAAATTAAAAAAATTGTGTTTGTTAATGTCTTGTAAATCAACATGAAAAAAATTGTTGTGTTTTTTTAAATTTGTGATGTGACATTTTATAATTTTAATTATTTCTATAATTTAGTTTGAGTAAATTGTATAACTCTTATTTTTATTTTTAGATACCAATGTTTTAGAGTTAAACTGTACAGATTATTTGTGTAATAGCTCACAATGCAAGTTGCAGCGGCTTTGTTCAACAGGATACTTCTATAACTCAAGTACTACAAAATGTCAAGGTCATTTAACAAACTTCTTTACTTGAATAAACTTTAACTACTATAAAGTAAATGCTTTTTTGTTTTTTAGTATGTATGAAAATTTTTTTAGAGGATTTTTCAGAATTCTTCTTAAAAACTAATAACAGTTAAATATTCTGTTAAAACAATGTACATTTAATGTGCAAACAATGTGCTCTTGAATATTTTGTTAAAACAATGTGCAAACATATTTTTTTGATGTGGTTAAATTAATATAAAAATAATTAAAATTTGCAGAGGGCAGGATGTGAAACCTATTATGAAGACAGAGTCATGATGATAAGCATTAGTGCAGGTATAGCACTCCCTAAAATGAGTGGTGAGTTATATTATTCTAGGAAATAGAGAAAAATCATGCGCATCTTATTCTAATTAGTTAAATAGTGTAAAGTTTTGATTCTTTATAATATTTTTTTTATCTGTATATCTGTTTTTATCTGTATAGATTCTTAAACATCTTGGTTCTCGCTCAGACACAAGAGGTTTGAGGTTTGACTCTATCTATAGCTCAGTTAATGATTTTGCACAGTGCTCTGTAATAATATCGTAAGGATTTCTAAATGTACTTTAGTAACTACTAAAAAAAAAACAGACTTTATAGTGTATTTACAATGACTAGTGTTATATCAGTTTGAACCATTTTTTAACAATTTCTGATTTTTTTAACAATTACTGATTATAGTGACCCAGATATTAAAATGTATATTATCTGTGATTGTAAACCAGACTTGGTCGGGAAGCGGGTGCCATCGCACTCGATAACTGACCACGGAAATGATATTTAGTTGCGAAAAACTGGCCAGATTTTTTAGTCGTTGTGAGAACATTGAAGTTTATGTATGTTTCCTCGTTTGTCCGCAAAATAATAAGTTCATTTTGTCGCAAATTTTAAAATATTTTGTTTTACGGACTTACATGGAAACGTGTATGTATGTGGAAACGTTTCGTTTATATATATTTTTTATAAATTAATTTTTATCTGAAACGTTTGAACCTTCCAGTGCAATAATAATGGTGTAATAATGAATAACAGTGGTATAAAAAATATATATATATATGTTTCCTCGTTTGTCCGCAAAATAATAAGTTCATTTTGTCGCAAATTTTAAAATATTTTGTTTTACGGACTTACATGGAAACGTGTATAAACTTGAATGTTCTCAAACATCTTGCGGAAAAATAAAAAAAGAATATTCGCGAACACAAAAAACCCGCCAAATCTACAAACAACTAATTCTATTGGTTCAAAAAATATTCTAGTATTTAAAAAAAACTAAGCAAATGTCCTGAGTATTCTATTGAAATATTTTAAAAAACTGTATTATTTGAATTTTGTTACGTTTTTGGTTAAGATTTCTAGCATAAATTATTTTAAGAGTATACTATCAAACGAACTAATATTTTAATTCTTGGAGCCACATCTGCAAAGCTATAAATAGTTTAAACTAACATTTGTTTACAATAATAAATGTTTTAAAATTATATTTTTTAACTTGTCAACGTTTTGTAAATACATTTTAGATTTTATTAGTATATTATTATTTTTTATATATAAGGGATGTATTTTTTATGTATGTAATGTATTTTTATTTTAATGTATTTTATGTATGTAATGTATTTTTATCTATGTAATTTTATCTATGTGTATTTTATTCAAATGTAATCTTTTAAAGCAATTTGTGCGATTGATTTTGTAAACAAAAATACTTCTAATAATAACTGCGTTTTCAATGAAATTATTAATAATCGTCAAAGTTAATACAAATAATTTTAACCACTAATCCATTTTCCTCAGAGTACCCGATAACTGATTCTTTCTCCCGAGAAAGAAAAGTTTTTAAGTTCTTAGAAATTGGTTTACTAACTTCTACTATTTTTGCTTCAGCCATTCTTACAAACTCGTTATACTTTAAGTTACTTTTTTCTATTTTAAATACTAATTAAAATTATGAAGTTAACTTACTACACATCATCAGCGGTGTTTTGAATCAGTTCCGCTTCCTCCTCACAAAGTAATTTAGCGTTTTTTGTTAATTTCTATCTAGCTAATTGAATTGCTACAGTAACTCAATGATTTAATTATTTCATTTGTTCATCTTATTAAGAAGAATCGTTTCAAATCTGTTAAACTTTTTAAACTACGCGAAGCATAAAACAGTTATTGAAAAAACTTTTTTATTTATAAATAAATCATCTGGTTGAATCTTGTTGGATTTTTCAGGTACGGGGGCTGCACTGTTTTGGCGGCCTTTTTATGTGCCACAGCGTAAAAATGACTTAAAAAAATACCGTATGGTCTTCTTGACCATCATTTCCCCAAACATTGTGAGTCCCGCGGCTAAAGCCCTACTACCCTCACCCCACTTCCTCAATCCAGCACTGGAAATAAGACATAAGTATATAAATAAAAATTATACATACTCTTTGATAAATCAAAGAACATTTGTTTCTTTATAGTTGTTACTTTATACAAAAATGTCGCTTTATTTTATAAAAAAAGTTATAAAAGAGCAACGTCTCAAAAATAAGTGCCCTTTGCGTTTTCTCGTGGTAAAAGCTATTTTTCTTTTTTAACTGTCTCTCGTCGGTCCAGTTAATCTTATTGCGCTTTTTTGGTTGTTTTTTAAATGACTAAAAAATCTGGTCGGTTTTTCGCAACTAAATAATATTTCCGTGGTCAATTATCGAGTGCGATCGCACCCGCTTCCCGACCAAGCCTGATTGTAAGCCATAAATTCTTCCAAAATGCATATACACATGTTCAATCAAAACCTTCACTAAGCGAAAATTGGATTATCGGTTGCTAACTCTGTTCTTGCGACCTTTATTAGCTTATGTCTGTATTTGATTAGTTAAATATGCTTGGCTTAAACTTGCTAGCCTATGACCTCTGATTGAGTGTGATCAGAGACGATTCTGCAAATAAAGTAAAGGGGGTGGGGGTTGAATTCTAAAAACATACTGACTTTTTCCTCAGAAAAAAAAAGGTTCCCAAAACTAAAATTCACTGACTGAATTGTGTCCAATATCTGACTGCCCAGGGCCGTGCGGTGCTATGATACAAAGAGGCGGCCGCCTCAGGCGGCACCATTAAGGGGCGGCAAAGTAGCGAAATCAAAATGCAATTTCAGGGTTGCAATAATAATTAGGTACTAAATCATAAACTGGACTCATTTAAATTTTAATTACTACCAAACTCGTGAATGTTTTTATCACTTTAAAAGTTTTTTCATTGTCCACATTTTTCTATAATATTAAAAAAAAAATTTCTCCCTCATTTAGCATTCGCTTTTGCTTTTTGAAACGCATATTAGCGTGGACTATTTTCTTATTATGTTTCAAAATACTGTTTTCAAACGTTTTTAAACGTTTGTGTTTGCCTGTCTTTGCAAGTTAAATTTTAACTTTGTAATGTCATCAAGTTTTTAACAGTTAAAAACATGATGACATTACAAAGATTTTACAAAATTTTTACAAAAATTTATTACAGCAGTGACAGCAATCGTCAGCATAAAACAAAAAAGAAAAAAATTATCTGGAAGTCGATACAAAAAGAAACGCTTAAAGAATGAGGAACAAGAAAGAAAGCTCAGCAATGTTATGAAAAAATTCTTAGTACAAAAGTGCGGTTTAGATGAGCCATCCACATCAGCAGCAACTGATTTGGCAAATAACAACACAGTGCCGCCCCAATCACTTCCAGAAGAAGTTGTTGAAGAGAGCCAAATACTAACACCATCAGATCTTCATGAACAGCCGGGCAGCACATCCACGTCAACTGCGACTGCCTTGGATTTGGCAAATAAAAACACAGTGCCGCCCCAATCAATTCCAGAAAAAATTGTTGAAGAGATCCAAAAAATAACATCATCAGAAGTTCATCAAGAACCTGGCCGTATTAGCAGTGGCAGTCAGCAGGTATTAAAAGAAATTCCTTCAGATCCTGCATTATGGCTTACTTTCTGCATGTCATCTCAAACTCGTCAACTACTGGTTAAGAGGGGTCCCCGTCAAATTAAAGAATTCGAGTTTCCTATTAATAAAGGAAAGCGTAGATTTTTGCCCTCGTATTATTCGAAAGTGTTGAGCAATGGTGAAGTTGTTGAGAGAAGTTGGCTTATTTACTCTATTGCAAGTGATGCCGTTTTTTGCTTTTGTTGTATATTATTTGATAATTCGTCTGATATTAGTGACTGGCCCAAAAAAGGCTATTCTGACTGGAAAAATCTTATAAGAGCCCTCACAATGCACGAAAAGTTTGTAAATCACAGAAATGCTTTCAGAGCATGGAAAAAATTGAACATTCGATTGAAGCAGAAAAAAACTATTGACGCTGAATATCAACGAATTATGGATATGGAACTTCAGCATTGGAGAGGAGTTATAAAAAGAATTATGTCAATAATTAAACTATTGGCCTCACAATGTTTAGCTTTTCGTGGATCAACTGAACATTTGTTTCAACCTAATAACGGGAACTTCCTAAAGTTGGTAGAATTACTTTCTGAGTTTGATCCAGTTATGGAAGAACATATCAGGAGAGTTCAACGAGAGTCTGATAAATGGTCAGTGACTTATCTAAGCAATAATATACAAGATGAATTGATAATTTTAATGGGAAATTCAATTTTAAGAAAAATTGTCGAAATAACAAAAATCGCTAAATATTTTTCTATAATCGCTGATTGTACCCCCGACGTCAGTCATTATGAACAGCTCTCCTTAACAATAAGAGTTGTTACTTTTAACTCCATTCAAAATAAATATGAAATTGCAGAATTCTTTATTGGTTTTTTTGAAGCTAGTGATTCAACCGGAGAAGGTTTGGCAAAACTTATTCTGACACATTTGAAAAAATTAGGTTTTGAGTTAAAGTGGCTTAGGGGACAAGGCTATGACAACGGAGCCAATATGAAAGGAGTAAGAAAGGGTGTTCAAAATAGAATACTTGAAAAATATCCAAGGGCTTTTATGTGCCCTGCGCATGCCATTCTTTAAACCTTGTTGTGAATGATGCAGCGTCTTCTATTACAGAAACAACATTTTTTTTTTCTATTGTACAAGAACTTTACACTTTTTTTTCTGGTTCTACAAAGCGTTGGGAAGTGCTAAAAAAATATTTTTCTCAATTAACTCTGAAACCATTAAGTGCTACTAGGTGGGCAAGCAGAATAGATGCTTTAAAACCTTTACGATTTCAACTTTGCGAAATCTATGATGCATTGATTCTGATAATAGAAGACGTCAATAGAGATGCAGAAACTAAAGTTAAAGCGAGAGGGTTAGCAAAAAATATTAAAAATTACAAGTTTATATGTGGAGTAATTCTTTGGCATGATATTTTGTTTGAAATTAATTCAGTTTTGAAGCTTTTGCAATCTGTTACTATAAATATATCAGATTGTGTAAGGATGCTATCAGAAACCATAAAAAAAGTGAAAAGTTATAGACAATCTGGATATATTCAGATGAAAATTGCTGCAAAGGAGATAGCAGAGAATCTCGAATGCAGTACAGAATTTCCTGATGACACTGAAGTTAGACCCAGAAGGAAAAAGCGTCAATTTGACTATGAAAAAGCTGTCGATGAACCCTTAACAGAGGAGAAAAAATTTAAAATAAACTTTTTCAACTATATTCTGGACATTACCCTTAATTCTCTGAATGAACGATTCACGCTTCTGGAAACCCATAGCAAAAAATTTCAGTTCTTATATGACATTTTAAAACTCAAGGAAATAGATGACAAAACGCTAGAAAATTATTGTTCCAGTCTTGAGTTTATACTTTCGGTTGAAAATGAAACAGATATAAATGCAAATGACCTTAGAGAAGAATTGCGTGATGTATCCAGAATGCTACCATATTCTACGAAACCTTTGGATGTTTTAAATTATTTATGCCAAAATAGCTTAATTAGTTTGTATCCAAATACTGTTGTAGCTCTGAGAATTTTATTAACTCTCCCTGTATCTGTAGCTAGTGGGGAAAGAAGTTTCTCCAAATTAAAATTAATAAAAAACTACTTAAGAAGTTCAATAGGACAAACAAAACTTAAAAATCTGGCATTAATTTCTATTGAATCTGCTATGGCTAGCACTCTAGACTACACATCAGTAATTAACGAATTTGCTAAAGTTAAAGTTAGAAGAGTAAAGCTGTAATACTGTACATTGTTGTAGTTTATAGTTGAAATCATTATTTCAAAATTTCAAAATAAAAAGTAGAATTCGTACATTTTGTGCAGTTTTTTTTTAAATCACAATCGAAGGTTATTTTAAAGAAAAACATTTAAAGGGCGGCATTTCGAAGATTTGCCTCATAATGAGAAAATCTAGCGCACGGGCCTGTGACTGCCTGATTAAACCCAATTGAAAAAAAATATATAAAAAAAAGGGGTGAACCCCCTCTTCGCTAAAACCCCCACTGAGTGTCATCCTTCAACCTATTTGAAAGCGAAAAAAAATGTAACAGGACTGTAGAAGAAAGAATAGAGAATAGTTCAACAAACCAATGCAACTCATCAACACAAATGTAGATATAAATAAAATTCTTTATATCAGTGAGCCTACAATTTTCTTTTATGTTTAAAAGTTGTTTGATTAAGTTAGGCTTCTAACAAGATTAAGTGAGGGTTGTAACAAGATTACTAAAAAAAAAATTGAAGTGGTTTGTATAATTTTTAATGTGATAACTTTATTAAACTTGTACATATAATTTATTTTATTAATGTTAGTATTTAAATTTAATTTAATTTTTTATTTTTTTTTTATTTTTTTTGTTTTGTTATTTAACTTTTTGATTCAATATTTTTTCCAGATATTAATGAGTGTTTAATAAACTGCAAATTCACCAAAGCAAGTTGTTTAAATCTGAATGGTTCATTTAGTTGTTTATGTCCTCCTGGATCAATTTTTAATTCAACAATTCGAGATTGTCAAGGTAAGTTTAATTAAATACTAGCAGTAAGCAACCCGTAATACAGATTAGTAATAAATAAACGACAATTAAACTTGATATATTATCTGAAAAATATAAAATACAAATTCAAGTATAGTTAGGGCTGCCATTTAGGGCTGCTATTTAGGGTTGCCAATAGGGCTGCAATTTAGAGCTGCTATTGTCCCAGTTTTCTGCTGAAAAACGCTATAAGTTTTAATTAGTTGCACTCTTTTCGATAAAAATCGAGACAATTGTAGCCTTATCTATATAATATATCCTTTTTGGTTTTGCTTGCTTTTATTGATCTTGGCATTTAGTAAAGATATTAGATTTTTTTTAATAACACAAGCACCAGAGAAGGAAAGGCAAGTAGAACTTACCGTAACCTAAAAAAAAAAGATCATCTTAAACTACAAAAGCATTATTTTAGATATTTATTATTGCGTTTTAGAATAAGTAAGTTTATTAAATAAGGTAAGCAATACTTTACATATTTTGTATTCATGAATTAGTGACTCGTAAAACATTTATAACGTGGCCATTATCAATTACGGTACCAAAAAAACATAAAAGCTTAGTAATAACAGAGTGTTTTAATAATGCTCTTCTTTATTTATAAACTTTCGTTAAACAGAGAGGAGACAGACTGTATTAAAGTCACTGTGTTAAAAAACTTAAAATTTATTTTATTCTTGACTTAAGTTATTGTTTTTAATGAAAATGACAATATATATATATATATATATATATATATATATATATATATATATATATATATATATATATATATATATATATATATATATATATATATATATATATATATATATATATATTAGCACAAAATAGCTATAGCACAATAAGACATTAAAAAAAAAAGGCTTTTTAATGTTACCAACAATCAAAAATATTTTTACTCTAATAGTTTAGATTTCCAATTCCTTCATAACTGTGAATAATGATTAAGGCATTAAATTTCGTATCATATAAATTTACTAAATTTAAACTATGTTTCAACAGTAAGCAAACTAATAAAGCAATGACAACTTAAACGGAAAAAAAGACGAATATTTAGTTATGTTTGAACTTCAAAAAAAAAAAAAGTATATATATATATATATATATATATATATATATATATATATATATATATATATATATATATATATATATATATATATATATATATATATATATATATATATATATATATATATATATATATATATATATATATATATATATATATATATATATATATATATATATATATATATATATATATATATATATAAAATCATTTCAGTTTAGGACAATTATAACCAGTTATAGGAAAATTTAATAAAATTTGATATGTAAAAAAATGAAGTGATTAATAATAGAAATAAAATATATATATAATAAACTTGATAACAGTCTAATCAATTACAGTCATAAAAATTAAGTTATTATAATAATCGTAAACTTATCAGTTGTGATATTGTAGAATATCTGAAATCGATGAGAAAGTTAAGTATAATAAAAAGTAGATATAGATACGCTTAGATTTCAATTAAAATATAAATATTCACACTTATCTGATGGACCCAATGACCCAAGAAATATAAATATTAATAACTTTGAAATAAATAAATAATAATAATATAAACATATGTAAACTTTGAACATATTATATTTAACAAAATAATTACAACATGAAAACATACTTATTATAAACTATTGACAATATTAGAAAATAAATTTGTGTACCAAGGTTGCTTACATCTTCATGTAAGGCATCATATTGCATGCTTCTTAGTTTACTTTGGTTATTTCTATGAAAGCAAGACACTTCTCTTGAATTTTAACATATGAATCAGCAGCATATTACTGAAATAAAAACAAAATTCTTGCCAAAATTCTTGAACAGGAGTTTTGGCTTGAACATTGAACATTGTTAGTAAAAATAAAGTAATAAAAAAGATGAAACCATTTAAGAAGAAAATTGAAAATTTTTCATCAAATACATAACTTCGTGGATTCAGGCTGGCATGGAATCCTTTATTCCCTCTCGACGATTCCAGTTCAAGCCTCACTCTTCTCCATAGTTTTCCTCGCGTTGTGCTGCTGCAATTGCCAATCGAAACCATTACTTCCATATCTATCAGCAAAACAATTTTCCAGAAAACAGTCTGTTTAATACTGCTAGGAACCATTGTAAAAAGGTTTTGTCTAACGCCAAAGCCCGCTATTCTCAGATCATGAAATCTCCTATTTCATCACAAAAGTTAGGCTTTCGTGACTTCTAGAGAATCTTTAATAGTATCAATAATAAGGGCAAGTTTGTAATTCCTTCTCCTTTGTATGGTTCAGGCTTTGTCACCTCACCTAAAGACAAAGCTGAATTATTTGCTAAGAACTTTTTATCAATATTATCTCTTGACTCCACTAGTTGTGCTCTACCTGATATAGCTGTCAAACAGGTTGATCCATTGCTCGACATCCATATCACTCCAGCTTCTGTATCTAAAGTGGTTTCCTGCTTAGACTCTTCTACAGCTTGCAGCCCAGACAACATACCTGTTATAGTCTTGCAGAAGTGTTCTTCAGAGCTTTCGTCTATCATTTCAAAACTATTTAACAAGTGCTTATCAGAGTCTTGTTTTCCAGCCTGCTGGAAAGCAGCATCTGTTATCCCTATTTTTAAAAATTCTGGAGAGCGATCCGATTCATCTAACTACAGTCCCATTAGTCTTCTTCCTATCATAAGCAAGGTTTTTGAATCTTTAATTAACAAACACTTAATATCTTATCTTGAATCTCATAACCTATTTTCTGATCATCAATATGGATTTCGATCTTCTTATTCTAGGGCTGATTTGCTAACAGTAATAACCGATAGGTTTTATTGTGCATTAGATAAAAGTGGAGAGGTGATGGCCATTGGTTTTGACATTTCTAAAGCGTTTGATAAAGTTTGGCATGCTGGTCTTCTCCATAAGATTTCTTCTTACGGTGTATCTGGAAACATCTTTAAGATTATTGAATCCTTTCTTTCCAATCGTAGTATAAAAGTTGTCCTTGATGGATAGCACTCTTCTTCTTATTCTGTAAACTCAGGGGTTCCTCAAGGTTCAATCCTTGGCCCTATACTCTTTTTAATTTACATTAACGATCTTCCAGATATTCTCACATCTAAGGTGGCATTGTTCGCAAATGATACTACCATTTATTCTTCTCACGATAAGAAGCCAACTCCCTCTGATTGCTTGCAGGGGGCATTTGAGCTTGAAAAAGATTTCACTTCTGCTACAACATAGGGTTTACAGTGGCTGGTGAACTTTAATTCAGATAAAACTCAATTTTATTCGGCCAACCGTTATCGCAATAATTTAGACCTTCCTATATTTGTGAACGGTAATGTACTAGATGAGTCATCTAGTCTTCATCTTCTAGGATTAACTCTCACTTCTGATCTTTCTTGGAAACCTTATATCAAATCCGTTGCAAAATTAGCATCGGCTAAAGTTGCATCTCTTTATCAAGCTCGACACTTTTTTACTCTGGATTCTATTCTCTATCTATAAATCTCAAATCTGACCTTGTATGGAATACTGTTGCCATATCTGGGGCGGATCTTCTAATGGTGCCCTTTCTCATTTAGACAAGGTGCAAAAACGCATTGTAAACATAGTAGGACCTGCTCTTGCAGCCAACCTTCAACCCATGTCACATTGTCGTAATGTTTTTTCTACAAATTATCGTAATGTCTTTTCTACAAATACTATAATGGGCACTGCTCTAAAGAGCTAGCATCTCTTGTGCCATCTACTAAAATTCATTCTCGTGTTACTCGTCATTCAATAAAGTCTCATCCTTTTTCTGTTACTATTCCTAAGTGCTCCAAAACTTCTTATTTGTCTAGTTTTTTTCCTCGAACATCAGTTCTTTGGAATTCGCTTCCTTCATCTTGCTTTCCTGATTCATATAATTTGCAATCTTTTAAGTCATCTGTCAATTGTTATCTTGCTCTACAACCTTCATCTTTTCTCTTCCAACAATAATTAGTGGTTGCTTGCAGCCTTATTGGAAGCGAAGATGTTTATATATATATATATATATATATATATATATATATATATATATATATATATATATATATATATATATATATATATATATATATATATATATATATATATATATATATATATATATATATATATATATATATACACTCAAATACCTTAAAATGAAGCGTAACATAACATTCTTTTGACAACTTCCAGAAGAGTTTTTTTTACTTTTTTACACAAGTTTATTTTCTAATGTTGTTTATTTCTTATTTTTTTTTCTAAGAGAAAATATACATATAGATATAGAGAAATATACTAAAATAAATGCAAATTTATGTATATAAACTTACATGTCCACAAGTTACAGTCTTATTTTATTTAACTTTTCATGTTAAATACATAAATAAAATTTTATTCTCATTAATCTTTCTACAAACAATAATCTTAATCTATAAATAATATGAATTGTACTTACTGCAAAAGCCTTCAGCTCCTACTAACTGCTTTAAAAAATAAATTAATACTTGCTTAAAATGTTGTAAATAAATTAACGACAAAACTGATACACTTTATTAAAAAAAAACATTGTACTAAAAAAACTATTTTACCAGTCATTTTAGTTCTAACTTCTTCTTAAAAATGAAAACAGGCTGTAAAAATTAGAAAAAAAAAACAAACAAATTACAAATACAAACAACAAACAGCAGACATGGAAACGGCACATCCAATTTGGGTAAATACCAACAATTTATGAGTGCAATTTAGGATGTAGTTTACTTGCGGTACAGAGTTATTTACGAGTGCGATTTAGGTTGTAATTTTTACATAAAGTATGGAAGAAAAAAAATTGACAAAAACAAAACACTGTTTTATTAACTTTATATATTTTTCTATAGTAAATAAAATATAGCAAAATCGAACATTTAAAAAAAAGTTATCTAATAA